TATAATTAATAATATTATAATTTAAAATATTATTGTTTTGTTATACCCGGACGTTGCAGCGACTGATTAAAAATAAATCACTTAATAGGAAAAAGAAACAAATATCTAACATCTTGTTCTTTTATGAAAAAATATCTTATTTAAGGAGTCGTCACCTAGTATTATGGTCACTAGGAACCCTGAATGGTGAATAGATTAGCCTTTTGTCATCTGAGTTTTCAGCCATATTCTTAATGTCTTTTATTATGCATCTTATGTCTTTGAGTAGCAGTATCTCACCAATATCTAGTCTAAGGTAGTCTCCCTCGATCATTTGCATGGATTTAGATTTGAGTCCATACTCAACAGTTGTTATCTTAGGAATAATGACCATTATGTCACCTGAAAGCCCTATAATGATGATGCTTACACATTTAAGTTTATCTCGGTGAAATTACACAGGAATTAACCTAAAGGATAGGTTCTAGTCATTAAATGCATCGGGGTAATTTTGTTATCTAGTCTCAAAGATCTTTCGTATGCTCAGTGATTGTCCTCGAAAGGTTGATATGAGATTTACAAGTAGTGTGAAGATAGAGGCCCTGAGTAATATTAGTTCGGCATATCGACCACAGTTGAGCAAAAAATCATGTGAGAGTTAGATAATTTCGCGAGTTTTACCTAGGCTAAAGTCATTTGGGTGCTGTTACTTCTCCACTTGTCTTAAAGTCGATACCACATATATTAAAAATGAGATGAGTGATGCGTAAAAGCCTTAGATCCATATCCAATCTATATGCATGATAAATATGAATAACTATGCATGCTAAAATAGTAAAAAAAGCAAAAAAATAAAAAATAAAAATAAAACTTGATAAACCAAACATAGTAACAATATAGAAAACCATACAAAAAATATTGTTTAGTAATAAAAAGACAAATAACAAAGCTTAGTCTTAAGGTCCCTAGTGGAGTTGCCATTCTGCCACACCCAGACATCGCAGCAACCGATTAAAAATAAATCACTCGATTGGAAAAATAAATAAATATATATTTGACATCTTGTTCTTTTATGGAAAAATATCTTGTTTAAGAAGTCACCACCTAGTATTATGGTCAGTAGGAACCCTGACTGATTAATAGAGATTCTATGGTTTGAAATTGGATGCGCAAAAAAAGAAGTTATTATCACCTTTTAAACGTCCTGCTTGAGGCAAATTGCATTGCTGGTTTTGTCATAAATTGCTAACATTTTGTTGGTTTATGCTATGATGATTTGCATGTAATATTCCTAACTCTAGCACCAATAAATGTTCAACTATGGATATTTCCAACTGTGGCGTTGGTAAATATTACGTAGCTATAAAAACAAAATAAATTTACATCATTTATTTTACTCCTAATTCTAACGTCAATAAATAAACAAATAAAATAATTTTATTTTCTATGGATACACGTGTTTTTTTTACTTTTTATTTAAAATGAAATACAATAAAATAAAATAAATTTAAATTATTATTTTTATTTCTAACTCTGGCGACACCAGTAAATAAATAAATAAATTTATCTTTTTTATTTATTACATATATATATATATTATTTTTTATTTTTATTTTATGAGTTAGATCCAACTCAGTCCATATGGAATTGAGCTGACTCAACCAGCCCAACCTAGTCACTGGCATAAGCCAATGACCAGGCAATTTTCACCGCAAGCGCGTGTGAATTGTTCACGCACGCTTGCTACAGTTACCACATAATTAAATCTCTAATCCACAGTGTTGATGAATTATTTTGTAGAGTTGGTGACACTTGCCTAGGAGTAGAATGAAGGCGATGACGTGATGTGCTGGACGAACGACGCTGCCTCATCTTGCTTTGTTTTTTTCTTTTATGTTGGGTTCTTTTCTGCTTTTTTGTTCCTCTGTTCTTTGTATCTCACCCCCTGTTCTCTAGGTTTGTTCTTCATTCATGGCCTCTTGTGACCCTCTATTCCATGCTTCTGTTTCCAGTGTTCTTCTCCTTCCTTTTCTTTGTCAACTGCTGGGTATTTATAGAGGCCAATCCTCCTCTCCCTCAGCCTAATGTCTCTCGTCTTGATAAGCACGGCTAAGGGAGATAGTTCCTACTAGAACTTGGACGTGAAACCTAATCCTTATCTTACTGGGTTGTGATTATCATGAAGATAAAGATTGTTTTTGTATGTTTTGATAAGACTAGGATGCTGGTGCTTCGCACTTTCGTTTCCTTCTTTGTAGGCAAGTGTTTCGTGCTTTGAAGATGAAGATGACGAATAGTGCTTGATTGAAACGACGCTGTTTTGGGGCTGGAAATGGTTATTTTTGATTTGGTCCTTGAAGTTTCTAAATCCTTACATTCAAACCCCTGGTCTTTTAATTTTCAAGATTTACCCTCCTTAAAATTAAATTAAAAATAAGTGGGTCAAAAGTGGTTACAATAGTTTGTATTATACATATTATTATTTTTATTATAATTAATAAATTTGGAAAAAAAATTATTTTTATTTTTATTTTTATTTTTATTATCATTAATAAATTTAAAACTTTCTATTATTACTATAAAAGAAAAACCATTATTTTTTAAAAATATTAAAAAATATAATTCAAAGTATTCATATAAAAAATATTATTATTTTTATTATAATTCTAAATATTAATATAAAAAATATTATAAATTATGTTATAAATATTCTCCAATCATGTAAGTCTTTGCTTTTTCAATGTCTCTATAATATTAATATTTTTCACACAACTCATTTTATTATATTTTTAAATTTTTGATTCGTCAACATAATTTTTTTTTTCATGAAATATTGGTTTTATTATATTTTTAGTTTTTATTATTTATCTAGTATTGATTTTTAATTATAACACCATTAAATATTTATTTTTATAAGCCTCCAATGCAATATCACGTCTTATTTTTAATTATAACACCATTAAATATATTTTTTTATAAGCCTCCAATGCAATATCACGTATCCATGTCATCTAGTATTTGATAAAACAGTTCAAGTTTCTATTTCTTTTCTAAAATTTTTCAATTATTGATGTCTTATGGCAGCATGATGCATTTATAAGTCTATATTTTCGTTGAATTAAAAGTAAAACATTCACATCATAATTGATGACCATTGTGAGAATTCATATTTCTTGGTTGGAATTTAAACTATAAAATAGAGAATATACTTTATTAATCATTACATTTTCTCAAATTAATAAAGATTTTTAATAATAAAAAAATATTTTTAGAAAACAAGCCTATTCGTATACAAATGATCTTAAGAATAATTTTCACCCACATTACCAAATATATACCTCCTGTTTTTTGAAAAAAACATAAATTCATTCTAAATTATCTATTTATTCTTGATTTCTATATTCATTCCTGCCCCTTTAATTAAATATATTTATATTATTTTTATTCTTAAACACGAACAAAACAGATTTCTAGGACTGTTAGATCCAACGATCAAACCGCGCATAAAAATAATGATTATATGGTTCCTTTTTAAGGTTTTTACTATTTAAGCAAAATCTTGGTGCTGTGCAGAATTCAGTTTTTAAGCGACATCATAAAACCGGGCCTTCATGTACAGACTACAGAGCCTCCGGCACACTCTCACTCCACTAAAACCCCAAAATGATCTCTCCAAGAACACACCATCATGGAAAACCTGCAACTTTTCCTCCGATTGCTGGGCATGGCAGCAGCAGCACTTTTGAAATGCTGATACGAATCATGGCATGGCATCATTCAAACGTGAGAGCACCGTCAGCACACAGACCACTTTACAAATGGCTCATCTTTTCTTATTACAAGTAGCAAGCACCTTTCGCCACTCTTTCCAGAACCCACTCAAAAAGGCTTCTTGAGTCCCCCTGCGCACTCAGAGCAGATTGCAAGAAGCAATCGATATACCCAACAAAATTAGATAAGTCTGTGTCCCACCTTAGAATCCGTTTTCCTTTTATCAAATGAAAATGAAGTATAGATAAACTAATCACAGGAAATTACAAAAATAGTATGAATTTCATACCCATGTTTTAGATCCTTTTTGGATTCTTTGCTAAAAAAATCAGAATAAATTTGATTTTTTTTTTTTATAAAATCAGTTATAATTTGACCCGTCCGCTAAGTGGGTTAAATTGATTTTTCTAAACTCCACCTGAGTGGGAAGGTTTTATAAATATTATATTAAAACAGCGTTTGATAATAATAATTTTTTAAAATAATTTTTAATGAGTTTTGAAGATTATTTTTTTTATTTATTGATAACCTAATTAGGTAAATTTATGAATTCAATTTAGTTATTTCTTCTTAGTTTTAATAATTACATGAATCGTGAGTTTTTTAATTATGACTTACCAGTTCAATAAATAAATTTTTTAAAAAGAATCATTCAAGAAACAAGTTATCCTCTTTTTAGTTATTATTGATTCTTATATCTCATTCTATAAAATAAATTTTATTCTTGGATCTTATTTGTGATATTTATATATAAAAATATTTTTATAAACTCTTTTAATTTTTATGTGCATTAAACTACTACCATATCATATATATTTTTTATTTTATACTTTATTCTTTCATTTAAGTATTCTTTTATTTTAATGTTGTCTTTCTTATATTTTTTTTCTTCAAGATTAAACTCTAAAATACATTTTTTCATAGGTTTTGAAAATATATTAAAATAATATTTTTTTTATTTTTTAAAATTTATTTTTAACATTAATACATTAAAATAATCAAAATAATAATAAAATATTAATTAAAAATAGAAAAATAAAAAACTTTTTAAAAAACTTTTTGAATGTATAAACAAGATGGAGTCCAGGTCGGTAAAGTTACTAATGCTAGGATGAAGTATCATCATAATAAAACACTCCTAAAACCCTCTCACATGGGACAGCCTGTGCCTCATCAACCTTTTCAGTGGCCTGCTTTTTAGTATAAGTAACCAAAATTAACAAGCTATCCAGCATAATGCCATCAGTAACCCCACTTACACTTATAGTGCATAATGGGCAAAATGAAGGCACATATCCTTTTTGGTAGTGGGCTGGAACTTGGAAAGTTCCACACTCATGCCCAGCTTTTTTCTTTTTCCTTCTTTCCATTACTTCTTCCTGGTAAAATAATACCCTTTTGCCAGGGAAAAGCAAAGGTTAGCACCAAAAGTGAAAGTTCAGATTTTGCAATTTTCCTGTCATGAAGCTCCATCAGCTCGTTTTTCTTGTTCTTTTGTTGGCTTATCAGGTCTATTGCAAAACATACATTCACATTGACTATAGCCTCACAGTAGAAGTACCTAGTGAGTACAGTGTGGAATTACTTGGAAGAGCATTTCTGATGGAGACAGACCAAATGGAGCCCGATTTTAGAGTAGCATTGAGTGTTGAACCAGTTAAAGGAAAATATTCATGCTCCTTGGAAGTCTTTCTTGGAGATGTCAAGGTGTGGAATTCTGGCCATTATTCTCATTTTTACACTTCTGATAAATGTGTGCTTGCGCTGACAAAGGATGGAGATTTACACTTGAAAGGTTCGAATGATCGAATCGGATGGCGAACCGGGACTTCAGGACAAGGTGTGGAGGTAACATTAACAGTAAAAGAATCATCAGAAAAACCTGAAAAACACAAATCACTGCACATGTTTTCTGGCAACTAATCTTTCTGTTCTCTCCCCTTCATTGCAGAGACTACAGATTCTGAAGACGGGCAATTTAGTCCTTGTTGATGCCTTGAACCGGATAAAGTGGCAGAGTTTCAACTTTCCCACTGATGTAATGCTATGGGGACAGAGACTAAATGTGGCTACTCGCTTGACATCTTTTCCTACCAATTCAACAGCATCTTTTCCCACTGATTATTTATTTATTTTTCCAAAATGGACCTTTCTATTCTTTTGAGATTCAGCACAACAAGATTGCTCTCTACCTGAGTTCTGGTAAGTGGAACTATTCTTACTGGGAATTTCAGCCTACCAAGAACAGAAACATCACATTTATTGAATTAGGTTCAAAAGGGTTAGAAATATTCAATGATAAATACAAGAAAATTGCGCAGATTTTACCATTCGGGATGCAATTTCAACCCTTAAGATTCTTAGCACTGGGGAATAAAACAGGAAACATGGGGCTATATTTTTACTCCCCGGAGAAACGAAGTTTTGAGGCTGCTTTTCAAGCACTCAATACTACATGTGATCTTCCTCTAGCTTGTAGACCTTATGGTATCTGTACCTTGTCCAATGCTTGCTCCTGTATCCGACTGTTGACGGTGAAAAAAGGGGTTGGTTCAGATTGCAATGGGGGATTTTCTGAAGGGTTTTGTGACAGAGAACAGCAGGAAATGCTTGAACTAAGTGGTGTAAGTAGTGTTCTAAGGACTGCTCCTAAGAGGGTCAATGTTAGCAAAGAAGTATGTGAAAACTTATGCCTAGAAGATTGTAAATGTGCTGCTGCATTATATTCTACTGGCAAGGATGGCACAAGCTTCAGAGAATGCTTTACTTATGGATTGGTCTCAGGTGTTAAGCAGGTTGAAAGGGGAACGGGATTGACTTACATGGTTAAGGTTCCAAAAGGCACCCAGGTTTCCCATGGGAAATCAAATGTGAAGAAATGGGTGTTGGTCATGGTAGGATTGATTGATGCTTTCATCATCCTACTTGTTTTTGGAGGGCTTGGGTATTATTTGGTTCAGAGAAGAAGAAGAAGAAACATGCTTGCCTCCGACAACAATACTTAGGACTGGTTATTCTGCCGGTGATTCTTTTCTCATGAGAATTCATGACCGAATTTGCAATTCTTTCTGCTTATAGAGAGAGGGGAAGAAAAAGAAACAATTTTGGTTGATTTCTACAAGCTGATATGTTCATAGGACAAAGTATTTATCTCTTTTTAACACCATTGGTATAGTTGAAATCGAATTTTCATTTATGCATGGGAAATTTTTTGATTGTGTGTACGTGGTTGAAAATCAAGAAAGGTTGACCTATGACTTTGTTAACTAGTACCGATTCAAGTTGAAAATAAACAATAAAAAAACTAGTCTAACCCAATTAAAAACTCAGTTTGCCGGATGACCTAATCATTAACCCATTGATCCTTTTTCTTAAAAATCTTGTTTTTAGATCAAAATAATGTAGTTTTTTTTTTTCAAAGGTTTTTTTGGGATTGATTTAGTTTAACCTGAGTTTTCTAATCCGTAAACTGAATCAAGTTTTAAAATGATGAACCGGCGATTTTTGTTTATGGTTCTTAACACACACATAAAGACCAGCCGAAAACCATAGCCTTTTGTTTCGAGCCTGGGTTCTTAACTAGATTATATTTCAAGGATCCCAATGTGAGCCACGAAAGGCCGAAGCCATTCAATAATGCCTTTAATCTTGGGCTTCAAGATGCTCTTCAATTATCCAAATTTTAAGCTGCTAATGGTGAAATATTAGGGCTTTCGAGATTCTATTTCAACTTCAAGGATACCAAATCCAGTAATTTAATAATTTTGGGCAGGATATTATCTAAGTGTTAAGGTTAGGGTTTGCAAATAATATCCACCATTCACCAACTCAGTGGTTAGAAGCCCTATGGACATTTATATTTCAATTTTGTGATCATGATGGAAAAGTAGACAAATGATGAATAAGTTTATGATATTTTTATTAGACAAATAAGTTCTCCAGTTTTTAAGTTTTCTTCTAGTTTAATTCATGTTTCATTAAATTCCTAAAATATTCTAATAGTACATTTGAGAGCTTATTATTTATCTTTTCTTTTTTTTTAAAAAACTTTACAAGAACCTCAACAATGTAACCTGTTAATTTATTTTTTTAAAGGATTTTTTGGTTAAAATATTATTTTAGAATTCTTGTTTTAAGAAGTTAAAGAGTGACTATCAAACAATTTTTTTTTTAGTTCTTAAAAAAAGGTTTGAAGCACGTCATTATGCTACTGAACATTAAATTATTAGTTGTAGAGAACCAATAAAGAATTATATTTTCTACTTTTATAATCATGATTTCATTTGAATTTACTTAATAATAAACAATAGATTACAATCATATAATATTTTACAAGCGAGAAAAATGAGACATTAAACAAAATTATTACGCAAGGTTTTTTTAACAGAAAAAATAGTAAAGAAAAGGAAAACCACTCTCAGACAATAAATTTTTAAATATATAACAAAATATAGGCAGAACAATTAAGTTTGAGATGTGCCTTGGGCTGATCTTTCTCAACAAAGAAAGAATGTTCCGTATCACAAGTTTAAGCACAGAACACTTGCCTAAGCACAGAACACTTGCCTAATTCTATACTAAATTAAGGGCCTGTGTAATTATAGATTTATATACTTTTAAGTCTCCCTCACACACAACAGGGGACAAAATTTACGTTTGTTGTTGTTCATACACGAGAACTTTGGCTTGGATATTTCTTAGGAATGCTAGCAAGTTGCGTTTAGTTGCACAGTTCATCAGTTGTTTTAAGCTAATCAGCTTGATGTGTGTGTGTGTACGAACGATAAACTATTGATACAAGCAGAATGATCTTGCCAAAGAGCTCCTTAATTAGCTGAAACCAATCATACGGATTTTAATTAAGCATTTTATGTTCAAATATATGTATAGATCATCGAAGGTAAAAGCTGCTTAATTAAAAACTGAAATTAATTACCAGAATCCCATTGCTGCACATTTTGACTGACTACTAACTTGGAATTAGGACTGCCTAGTGTGCTTGAAATTCAATATACAAATTCCCAATTTCTCAGTGGCGTACAGGAAGAAAAGGGAAGAAAATATTTGGGTCATTCTTGCTTACTAGCTAGCTACCTTCATTCCAGTTATGGATAGCTTGCAGCACTGCTTGTTTCACTACTTGAGCATCATGGCCTTGGTTCTGCAAAATCATGAATTATATTTTATTGAAGAATTAATTAAACAATTTCCTATCAAATATAGCTATATGCATGAAATTCATAAATAAAACTCCAGAAATTAGAGGAGGAAAATGAGCGTTGCTTATCCCTTTCTTAAGATTGGCTTGGAATGGACTGTGCATAGAAACTCACACCCATGTGTATTATACCCCCTAAGAGTTCTCTACTCTAGCTAAAAGAGACCATTAACTCGAAGCCACCGCTAGAAGCCAACAAACCCAAAATAGACATAGATGCATGGATTAATCCTAATTAATGACATTTGTCCCACGAACTTGCTCAATGGATCGCTATATACTGTGTTCCAATGCTGTCCACCCATTCTGGTGTACTGTGGAAAGTCCAAAATATGTGGTTCAAGCCAGCTTGTTTCTAAGTTGTACACGTGGGATCAGTCTTGTTTGTCTAGACTACTATTTATTAATTTTGAGAATGATGCTTGAGACATTTATAGCATATAACATCATATACTTGCAAAAAAGATATGCTCCCTTAATTTAAGTGGTGTGCTAAGAGGAAGAATGTCGATCCAAGAAAGGAAAGACAGTAATTTAATTCTTACTTGGTCTCCACCAATCGCTTCAAGTTGGAAATTGTCTTCACAAGAAACCCTAGCATCAAGCACATCAAGGCCTAGTTCCTCGAAGGCTTCAAGTATGGAGACAAGTAATCCAGGGCAATTCTTTCCTGAAAATACATTAATAAGGAAACCCTTTTCTAGGTTTTCCACTGTGACCTGCTGAAGTATGAAAAAATAATGAAGTATTATTACATGGGCTAGTAATGGAAGCTTTTCAGAAATTAATAAGAACTGAAAATATAATAAATGAACAGATAAAGGGGATTGTAGTTTATATTCGCACCGCAGGTAATGAATTTTGGGGGGTTGAAGATGTTCCGATTTCTTTTTTTAGCCTATCCACCTTGTTCTTCAACTCTCCAATATATTTTGACGCGTCTACTATGATTGAGGTTTTGTTCATCTGCCAAAATCACCAGTTGCAGAAGAGAAAATATCAAAATAAGTAACCAAAGATTGGAAAAGAAAGAAGAAGAAAACAAAGTAGAAGAAGAAGAACGAAGAAGGGAGATGGAGGAAAGAAAAGAAAAACTGAAACTAAAGCTTGAAGAGGCGGGGTTCAGGCATTTACAGCATTAGAATGGGTAGCAGCACGTAACTTCTCATAAAGAGCTGCCTTCTTTTTCTTCCTGGAAGACATGCTTGTTTTCTGCCTCTTAACTTGACTAGCTAGCTAGCTCTCTCCTCTCCCTTGCTTATTTTTTCACCTCAAGCTTTTGAGGATTTTATAACAAGAAGATGACCTCTAGAACTCTTTATCATTGCTTGTTCGTTTCCTGCATGGATGCTCCCGTTTCCCCAAATAAAATCATAATTCATTTTGAAATTTACATTATTAACCATTTTGTTTTCCTGACAATTTGTCTTTTAAAAGTAATTTCAAAATCTGTCTTTTTTTTCTCTCCCTTTTATCGGTTGAAAGAAAAGGAGCTCAATGCCATGCCATTGAACTGTAGGGCCCATTGGCCGAGCGCAAATATATATTATATATATATATATATATATAGAATCTAATTAGTCCTCTTTCAACCACCATAGAGAAAGAGTAGTGACGGAACATTGATTAATATAATTTCACTTTCAGTAAAATACGTACATTAATTCGTCATCAATTATCAAATATATACTGCTGGAAGTTTTTATCTTCACTTTTTTATTCATTTGAAGTTCCATCGAGCTAAGGATAATTCAACGGATCAGAAAAAAACCCTCTTGATTTTTTATAATTCATTCCATTCCTGTTCGAGTTAAATTCATTCTCATGCTACTTTTGAATATAAATATTAAACTCAATAAGAATAAGTAAGTTCACTTAATAATTTAACCTTAACAAATTAATTTTGAAAATATAGTTTGGAACCAAACCATTATCCTGGCTTGGATCTAATATTTCATGAACTCAGGTAACAACTCCAAATCCGTACACTAAGTCCATGCCTAACACCTTTTAAGCTCGGATGTAGAACTTAAACCCAAGAGGTGAGGAATGCCCAGTGTCCTTTTACGCTTAGACGCTCACTTTGTGCTTGAACCTAAGTACATTTCCAAATGTTTTTAAGCTCGACACTTGTTTTGGTTTCTTTTAAACTTGATTATGTGATTTGAATCTAACACTTGTATCGTTAAAAAGTTTTTTAATCAAATCTTAATCCTTTTTGCTGGTTTATACTCAATGCATACTCGGAGTGCAAAAGAGTTTTTTATAGCCTACCATTTTATCTCTAATTAATACACTACAAGGAATATTTGATTTTCATTAAAGTTTATATAAGATACATTTACCCCTGTATATATATATATATAAAAAGTATTAATGAGAATATATATATATAAAAAAAGTATTTATCTCTCATTAATATTTATATCAGGAATATTTATCTCTTATTAATATATGTGTAAGTGATGTTTATCTCTTATTAATACTACAAGGGTAGAATAACTTTATAACACTTTCCCTCAAGCAAAAAGACAAAGTATATGAGATATAAATTGTTGGGTTTATCGAATATATTATACATGAAGCATAAAAAATAAAACATAATTATTCGGGAGTCCCTATGATCTTAGTAGATAAATCTAAAGTTGTTTATGGATTTATTACATGAAGATCCAATTTTTTTCAGCTTTGAATAATTCTTTAATGTGTGAATTGTCGCAAATTATAAGTTGTTCAATTTTCAACCTCCAACGGTAACCCACACGAACCACCAATAAAAAATCTATTAAATTCCTATTTAAGAGAGATGAATTGTTATGCCTAAAGTGCTAGCTCTCTATTATATGACTTACATAGTTTTTCTATCTAACAAACAACCCTAAAAACATAAGAAATATAACTTACTATTTATAGAGAAATTTGAAAAACCTTATAAATTGGAAAAATATTAATTTTTTCCTTGAATAATATTCATATATTAATTTACAAT